TCGCGCCGGATCGCTGTTGGCTGCACGGGACCGGGACGGACCCTGACCGTGGCCCTGGCCTTCCTCACCGGGCCTCCGGGCCTAAGCTTGTGCTTGTGGTCCCGCGACTGGTTTCGGTCGAGTTTCGCTCGCCGTTCCAGCGAATTTTGCCGCTAAGTAGAGCGATCCATGATCGTGAGAGTGCGTTCAAAGAGGAGATTTATTCCTGTTTCTCAGTGTTTTCAGAAGCTTGGATATGCCTTTGGATATGCTTTTCGAGATGCCAGCTCAACTTCCTTTCTTACAAGAATGTCTGTCTTAATTTGTCAAATATAATATTGGAGACTTGAACGCAGGTACAGAAAAGTATGTAATAGACGTCTATACGGGTTAATCATTTAAGTTTATCTTCTTGACTGATAAATTGGTCTCAAGGACTGGATTGGAAGTCCAAAAAATGCATTCAGCTTTCAGGGAAAATAAAAGTTCGGTTCATCCTGAACAACAGGGTTACGGTCACAGAAACCGAACCTCTGGTTGCCCCAATCGAAATTTGGTTCGGTCATAAAAAGTTATACCTAATGCGGAAAACATCGGTATTCGGTATAAACCGAAAAGCGGTATCTTTAACCAATCTTTCTTTGAGGCAGTGTGCTGCTTGATTTTCTACTCTGCCTAAAGATCCATTGAAAAATGATGATTGATTCCGATTAGAAAGTCAACGGGTTTTGAGATCAAGGAGACAAGGTTTGTCGCGATTTCCAAAAATTTGTCTATTATGCATTGGGACATCAAAACGACAGCGACCTTCTTGACTATAACCGACGGTTATTAACCGTATGGGCCGTGGGCAGGGATCGATTGTCATTGCTATTGAAATCTTGAATTAGAACTGTAATTTGCTAACACAGTCGCCTCGATTTTTCTAGTGACTGCTACTATACTATCGAGGGGGTTAAAAAAAAAATAAAGTCAAATGAGCGCATTGCGTAATAATTGGACGCTTCTGTTCTCGATAGTCTGAAAGTCGAAAAGACTTGAACGCGGGGATGGAAAAGTACTTGGCAAAGATTCCTACGGTATAATCATTTGGACGTATTTCTACCAAACAGACCTATGTGGAGGTGAGAAATATGGGGTGTGCTCGTTAATTCTCTGGCCGTAAGAGTGAATGAGAATAATAAAGCGCCAGTGACGTCAACGGAGATGGAACCGCCGTCGTCCCGCTACCGCTTCCTCTGTAACTCATGAGCCCTGTCCATAACGCTCTCTTGCCATGCCCGCGGCTCATGAATCTCGCATTCAGTTGGCACATATGTCTGTTTGGTAGAATGTGAAATCCCGCTTTTCCAATTCTTCAAAAGGAATCAAGCCCACTTTTACATTGTTTCTTATGCAGCTTTCTAGAGCACATCCCATATTTCTCACCTGCACATAGGTCTGTTTGGTAGAAATACGTCCATTTAAGCTTTTAATTCTTGAGTGAAAACATGGTTTCAAGGACTGCGGAGTGCAGCAGCTGAACTTCTTTTTTTACAAGAAGATCTGTCTTAATTTGTCAAATATAATCTTGGAGACTTGAACGCGGGTATAGAAAAGTATTTAATAGACGTCTATACGGGTTAACCACATAAATTTATCTTCTTGACTGATAAATTGGTTCCAAGGACTGCGGAGGCTGGACTTTCTTTATCACGTGGAAATCTGTAACGCCGACTTATTTGCAATTTATTCTTTAGGAAACAAAAGAGACTATTTTGGAAAACTCAAAATTCGATTTTTCGAACCGACACTTGGCTTGAATCCCGCCTCAATGGATACTGAGGTTCCTCATATACCGAGAAAGACCGCGAATGTACGCTCTTCTAACGTAAGAACGTACCTCTAATTATACTTGAGCCTTGGAAAACACAAAGTTAAATGGAGAACAGAACTCACGTGGAAATTGAGATACACATCGGAGGAGCGACGGAATAAAACATAGTTTTAATTGAAAGGAACTAAGTTTTTTGCAAGGCAAGAGGACTGCTCTTTCTAGGCTTGAAAAAATTCCATCGGTGTCATTATTCATATATAGTTCTTGCCACTAGACCGATTTAGTTGCATTTGCAAACAGCAGAGGATGACCAAGTTATTCAAAATCCAAAAAACGTGATGAATTTGCCTACAAAATCAACTTCCTTCGTTACACGTCTACGTGTAACGAAGGAAGTTGATTTTGTAGATCTACAGACAAAAAAAGTTTCTTCAGTTCATTAAAATTGAAACTTTGAAACGCAAAACTTTCTTTAGGAGATGTAGAGGGAACAGAAACCTCTTATTTTCACGCTGAAACAGGCGAGAGGGGTTCTGTCATGCGTGGAATTGCGTATCTATCCGATTTTTACGATTTAGATGCGGTTAGATATCACTGCGGAGTGCGGATTCAGAGTTCTTATAGTTTTTCCCCAAGACGACTTTTCTCTGAACCAAACATTTTGAGCGAACAAAAATCTTATTTGACTGAATATTTTTGGTCATTTTTTGTACCGGTATGCTCATTAAAACATTCCTAATCAATTGTATTAATTATACAGCGTTTGAATTTTCGAAACTGAAATCACTTCCCTCGAGGACGGTTGAATTTAATACCACCATACTGCCTTGCTAAAGAAGAACGCCGTATGAACATTCGAGAGTTGCCAAATTTCCCCCAATGAAATGCTTATTTTTGAAGAAAGTTATGAATATTTTTCCTTGAAATTTTCAGGACCCTTTAGATGAAATTGTGAGCAAAATTATCTGAAAAACAAGAGCGAAAATATTCATAAGTTTTCATGAAAAGTCGTGTTTTATCAAAGGAAATTTGGCAACGCCTAAATGTTCATACGGCGTTCTTCCTTAGCACGGCAGCATGCCTGAATTACTTATACATATGGTTTGCAGAAGGTAGCGTTGCTGCTTGATGCAAAAGAGCAACTAGCGTAGGTTCGCAGATCGCGCAAAATATCCGGTGCGCAGTGGAGTCCGTAACCTGTCTCATCGCGTCGTCATAGTCACCGTCATCGGAGGAAGAGCCCTCGGCTAGAAATTCTATGTGGGTTAGTGACACGCAAAACTCCCCGTCCGCATATTAATATTACCCCCTTCTATAGATTTCTTGTCTTAATAAAGGCACAAAATTGTGACACTATTTCAGCATACTCACCTTTACTTGACGTTTCTCTTCAAGAAAAGGAGAAGGAGGATGAATTTTGTAGAGAGGATGGGTCTGTTGCTCTCAAGAGATCCGGGCAACTGTATACACTTTTAACGGGTAAGGTTGCTCAAAAATCACACTGGGCACATCAAAAAAGTCTGAAATCCGTCCCTTAGCTCGCAATTTCCGTAATTTGTAACACGCTTTTTTAAGTTTACCGCGTATGCGGGTAGTTTCTCTCGGTGGCCGCATACGCGGTTAACTTGAAAAAACGCGTTACAAACTACGCAAATTGCGCGCTGTGGAATGGATTTGTGGAGTGTGATTTTACTCGTAAAATGTATATTTATTTGGCTGTATCTCTTGTGTGCAACAGACCCATTCTGTCATTTTTCATTTTTACGGAGAAAAGCTATGTATCGTCTCAGGGCAGGATTTAGGGGGTGGCCACATGGGCCGCGGCCCATGGCGGCAGGTTTAGGGGGCGGCAAATGTTGTAATTTTTTCAAATTTAGGTATCAAGAAAAAAATCTAATTCAGAAAAAAATTACAAACGAGAAAAGGCGAAAAAATCTCTCATTTCCTGAGAGTTACATTACAGTAATTTCGAATTTGTTCGTCTTTCGGTGATATAAGAGACAGTGCCTTTCAATAGTCTAGTTGAGAGAGAAACCAAACACACAATTTGGCCTGGAGCGGCGCGGCGCAAAAAGCAATGATGACGAGGACTTTAGATGGAAAGGAGGAGTCCTCAGCGCGCCGGTCAGCATGAAACACATATGAGCGCCTACAAGACTCCATGAATACTTCACGCATTGCGTTAAATGTAGTTCGGTCGGCAGCGGTTGACGTGAAACTCATAGTGCCTACAAGACTGCATGAATACTTCACGCATTGCGCCAAAAACAGTGCGGTCAGCAGCGGTCGGCGTGAAGCGAATATCGCCTACAAGACTGTAGGGATACTTCACGCATTGCGCCAAACACAGTGCGGTTGGCGCGGTGGCAAAAATTAAAATCATTAAATGACATTCACGTTTTTTCTTTCGTAATTTGTTCGTTCTTTTCTTATAAATGAAAGGCCTCGTCCACACAGAGATAGGTTTACGGAACTTTATTTTCGCGCAAAGTTCTGTGAACTTTTGCTAGTGCTGACAGGGCTTTCGCAAAAAATGTGCCCAACACGAGTAAACGCGTCTTATTATGCATCCCTCTTCCTCCAGCACGTTCTCTTGATGGTTTGTATCGATGTTTCAGAACGAATGAGAAGGGGCGGCAAAATACAGGCGGCCCATGGGCGGCAAGTAGGTAAATCGGCCCTGTACCGTCTATGTGGTGCTCATATTTCATTTCACGGAGTGATTAGTTTGATTTAAGTTAAAATTTTAATAAAATAAAAAAATGGAAATAAAAAGACACCAAAAATAAAGATCTTGATACTCCAAATTTGATAAAACTATTGCTGTACCATTTCAGCCACCTGCCAAAAATGAAGATCTTGACACTCCAAATTGACAAAACTATAGCTGTACCATTTCAGTCAGCTGCCAAAACTACTTTACTATTACTTTATATCGATAAATAAACGTCCAGAAAACATATATCTATTATCTAAACTACTCATTCATTTGCATTTTCCTTTTACTAGATAATGAAATGTTTCTATGGCCGTGAATCGAACGGGTTGTTACGTTCCACTCACCATTGTTCAGACTCATTCACGAAAATAGGGCTTAACAAATTCGCATTTAGCTTTATCTCAATTTTGCGATCGATTTAACTACGAGGGGAAAAAAGTGGATTTAAAAATTGTGGAGTTACGCGCAGTAACAATTACTATGCTCTGCATCTCTTGTCACAAACAATGAGTCATGGATGAAATAAGTGGCTTGTATAATAATAAATCTCATTAAAATTCGGTCTTACATTAGGTTGACTTGTGATTCACACACCCTCAAACTACGCTCATATATTAGGGCAACACAAGAACTGAGCGTATTGTATGGTAGACAGTTGACTAGACCTTTCGCTAGCTTATGCCGTGTTCCAATTAATTTGCCTGCGTTATTTTACTGCTGTTCGCTTTCATTGGTTTGAGAACTAAGAATCACAGTTTAAAAAATGACCTCCTCATTTTCCCTCTCTGATTCAAAATTAAAAGCCGCGTTGCTGCTAGGAGCGTTTCTGATCACCATGGGATCTTTATTCATCGGTAAGATAACATTTTCCAGACAAAATATCTTCTCTCAGCATCAAATTTTTAACAGAGGAATTCAGCGACTGTTGAAGTTTAAACTTACTTCTGGCTAATTTATTTGTTTCTCAAAATATGGCTCGGTCCGGTCCTGCTTCGTTTGGTTCATACACCCTAATAGTTCTTTCGAATCTTTGGATTACCTCTAAGCGCCACAGCCGTTTTTGTTTTTTATTTCTTTCTTAAAACTAATTCATTCCAGGTGCAATATTTAAGGTAAATAAGTCAGTTTTGAAAATTACGAAAAATAACTTTTTCTTTATCGATGACTTTGCTTCAAAATTCTGCATTCGACTTTAAAGGAGATTTTGAAAAATGTTATGAATATGGCAATGCATCTATTAAACTTGTGCGTACTTATCATACTTTCCTCCACGTAGGATTTATGCATAGAAACTTGATGGTTGGGCAGGCTTTTACAATTTTCATAACTTTGTAAGATTAATCGGCCCTACTCTATGCCATTACACATATCGACGGTGAAACTACCAAACCACGTATCTCGGTTTGCGGCGTCGCAGACTTCCTGTCATACTTTATTTTTTAAATGAAAAACTACTCAACATCCAGTCTTGAAAATTTCTGAGATTTTTCCTCTTTGTGCGGAGAAAATTCCGTGAAAATTTCAAGGAATGATATGGATTTGGTCTACTTCAAAAAAATAAAATGTGAGCGTAGATTTTTAAACACCGCAAACGAGATACGTGGTTTGGTAGTTTCACCGTCGATATAACTAACATGTAATAATTGCATCCTAGTATACGAAATAGCATGAGGAGTGGACGGCAAGACAGGGCAAGAGTAAGACCTCGATAAAAGACATGTTTCCGTATAATGTCGCTCCCTGCTGTCTGATGGTCCATTGTATGCTATGTTTTAGTGTGTACTCAGTACACGACAGCATCTCTATCTCTCCTGACTATCATTCAAAATGCAAAGCAACAATCTTGAAATACTTTGTCGTGGCACTGAGGACGATGCGTCAGTTGTATCACGGATCGACAAAACGTCAAAATTACACTTAGGCACGCATAGCGTAATTTATGGGTGGGTAATTGTCTGATTTACCCATGCTGAGTTATAGGTATGTGTGAAGGAGCAGCCATTGATTCCCTGAACTCGATCGAATCCGGCCAGAATGGAACAGAACCCACCAATGACGACGAATCGTCAGTAGGTGTGTTTTCAATGGCAAACAACACCTGCACGTGCAATGAAACGGTAATGCGATTTTGTATAAGCAGTATAAATTCCCGGAGGATGTGACCCATGCTGTCATGCTAGGGATGAACGCCGTATGGACATTCGAGAGTTGTCAAATTTCACTTGATACGACATGTATTTTTAACGAAATTCATGTACATAGTTCTTTGAAATTTGCGGATTTTTTAGATTAAATTGCATACAAAATTGAATAAAAATTTCGGAAAAAGTATTCAAAATTTTCCCTGTGAATTAGGTTTTTATCGAGGGAAACTTGGCAACGTCTGAAAGCTCATACGGCGTTCTGCCTTGGCACTACAGCATGGGCCATGGCTGCAACGTAGCCCAACCCCCAGAGTCCGCTTCCTCCGTCATACTTCAAAAATTTAAAGAGAGTGTATTCATCCAGAGTCAATTATTCCGTAGATAGCCGCAAATATCATCGACATTGGCCCGGTGGATAATTAGGACAAGCTACGACGAAAAATGAAAATTTACACCGCTCGGATGAGAATTTTTGCAATTTTACCGTATATTTTTAAAACATCTGGATTATAATAATTACAAATTTTAAAGAGACCACGGGCTCAACCAGTGGCGATTCTTACAAGTTGGCAACACTGTTCTTCCTTAATTTAAATCCATTAAAGGTATCGACATTAAATGAGGGAAGCTGCCTCACCAAGAATCGATTGTTTTACATACATTTAAATGTAAGAAAACAGTGGTGCCGCAATTTTCAAGAATCTCCACCGGGCTCATTCTAGGGTGCCGATAGCCGAGAGATCGTGGAGATCGACCCAGCACATCTCGAGAATGAACTTAGCGACAAAATATGAAAATTTGGGATGTCGTAGGCACAATCATAAACTGATACAGGCTGATCTATAAATAGCTATTTATAATACGATCTCATCTGACATTGTTGTGCTTACAGAGAGTTTGAATATTCAAAATATTATGAGACATTTTTACTTTGTTCTTTCATCTTCATTCATAAAGGATATGCTTATGAGTTACGATTGAATTTTGGCGCATGTAACTCATACTTGATCTATATTCTAGAACGTTTTAAAAACCTATGTCTTGCTTCGTTTAAATATGCATCGGTTACGGGCGGCGAACAATGGGTTTCTATTTATTCATCATTTTTTTCACTCCTCATATTATTTTACCGTAAGTGTTTTTATAGGATAGAATTAGTAAGGCAGGAAAAACAGACATTAGTGCATTGATTACGTTTTAGATTTTGCACCATTTTTTGAGGCAATGCCCGACTTACTGATATGATCAGTTTTTTACATTTTTTTTCAAAAATTAATCATCCATTGCTATTTTTTTCTCGAGACCGTACCAAGTTTCCTAGCTGCGGACTTATTTTACTTGTATAGAAATGTAAGATACATGTATTTTTGCTTGTAGAGTCCACTAGGCATGACAGATCTAGGAGTCGAAGATGCAGATCCACAAGAAATTGCGTTAGCAATTGCGATGATGATGGCAGATGCTGAAGCTGCAATATCAGGTAAAGCAGTTGGCTCGTATTTTTCCAGGGTCTAAAACAATGACTTATATCAAAGTTTTTGCCCCCCCCCCCAAAAAAAAAAAAAAAACACAAGTTACTTAAGTTTATTATGTAAGAATTTTTCCGTAATGGCATGTCAAAAACCAAAATAGTTGAGAATATCAAAGTTAACAATAGATTTGTGCGATATTAACAACAAAAATTTAGGAGTGACACCCATTATCGGTTTATTTCCTATTATATGCGTTCTGGTGATAAGAATTTCCTTAAAAAAAGGGATTGCTAGAGTCAATGTTTCAATTTCCTCCGATTATGAGACTGTGTGATAAAACTTTGTCTTCTATAGAGTATTTGATACTTTAAAATGATAATTGTTGCATCAGGAAAATTATTTGTGGAATGTTTTTCAGAGCTTGGGACAGATGATCAGGAGGATTTAGCAGTGACATGGGAGGAACTTCCCTCAAACCAGACTTCTTCATCGAATGACACTGATTCTTGGTTCTAACAAAGGAGAGCATTACGTAAGAGAAAAAGTATAATGCTCTAGAAATAATGCCTCTTTAACTGGAAACTCATTATCTCAACTAAGGTCTTTTAAACCTCTTCTGCAAAGAAAGCACTCCACTCCACATACCATATTTTTCGCTAATATTCAATATTTTTAAGGTTTTTTGTTAAGTTTAAGAGAGAGTAATGTTGAATACTTTTCAAAATGTTTATTATTTTTAGGTTTAATTTTTTTCTAGTTTTTCTTCAATTACATGTTTTTCAAAAAATTTCAAAACTGGTTTTATTTTGGTATAACACAAATTTTACCGGTTCAGTCCTGCATTTTCACAACCTGTTTATATCAAAAGGCAAAATCTAAATTAGTATTTACTAAAGTTAGTGTATCAAACTCAAGCTTCTAATTAAAGATGCAAGCCAAAACTGGAGGACAAAAGAATAATAATAAAAAAAATGATCGGAAGAAACTCCCAAAAAAATGAACAACTTTGAATACTACAAATTTCAATGTAAACGGACCCCAAACGGCAACAAATTCAGGTCAATATATTCTACTGCTAAAATCGATGGTTAAGCTTGATTTTTTTGAATATCTCAGAACACCTTTCCCGCGCTATCTCGCCTTCCGGTTTTCTATTATGATAATTTGTACGGTTTAACAACGAGCTCGCACTACAAGTGGTGTGCAGATTTACATACAAATGTTTCGATCAGAATAAATATCTTGCACCTGTCGCATGTCAAGTCGATCTTTCACAGAATTGTTGATTTTTTACTCAAAATAGATGGTAGTTTTCTCGCTCTCCCCACAATTCCAAGAGATTTATAACAATTTTAAATAAGAATCAGACGACCTTGATGACACTTCGCTGCAAATATCACGGATTTCTCAGCGATGAGTATTATCTGGGTCGACTTTAACGGACAGGAGTCAAGATTTCTAGGAAAGGAAGGATCTGGTCGTTGCAGAATTTCTTTTTTGTTTGTTTTGGAGATAAATCGTCATTTCAAAGTTTTCTTGTAATTAAACTATTAGGGTTTAGTTTGTTTATATTAGACCAAATAAGTCATATTTGCTGCAGAAGTCATTTTTCCCCCTTTTTTTTAAAAATTAAATGGTTTAATAACTTGTTTTCTCTTCCCTGAATGCAACGAGAACCGAGTCTATTCAGAGAAATTAACCAAGTTAACCAACCCCCCCCCCCTCTCCTTCAAATCAGAGTACTTGTAGAGCGAGAGTATGGACAGCCAAGGCCGGATTTACCTACTTGCTGCCCATGGGCCGCCTGTATTTTGCCGCCCTCTTCTCATTCGTTTTGAAACATCAATAAAAACCATCAAGTGAACGTGCCGGAGGGAGAGGGGTGCATAAGACGCGTTTACCTTCTCATGTCGGATAAATTTTTCGCGAGTGCCCTGCCAACACTACTAGTACAATTTCATGGATTTTTGCTCGAAAGTTAAGTTCCGTAAACTTGTCTCTGTGTGGACGAGGTCCTCCATTTATAAGAAATGAACGAAAAAACTATGAAAGAATAAACATAAATATGGTTGAATAATTTAACTTCCGCCGCCGCTGCGCCTGCGCCGCGCCGCGCTGATCGCAGTTCGCACTATGTTTGACACAATGCGTGAAGTATTCATGCGGTCTTGTAGGCGTTAGGCGTTTCACGTCGACCGCTGCTGACCGCGCAGTGTTTGACGCAATGCGTGAAGTATTCTTGCAGTCTTGTAGGCGCTATGCGTTTCACGCCAACCCCTCCTAACCGCCCTGTGTTTGACGCAATGGGTGAAGTATTCATGGCGTCTTGTAGGCGCTAATATGTGTTACATGCCGACCGCCGCGCCGAGGGCTTGTCCTTTTCATTTCAAGTCCTCGTCATCATTCCTCTCTGCGCTAAGCTCCAGGACAAATTGTGTGTTTAGGTGTTCTCTTAACTCGACTAATTAAAGATGCTGTCTCTTGTATCACCGTAAAACGAAAAAATTCGAGGAAAGAGAGATTTTGTCCCCTTTTCTCACTGATAGTTTTTTTCTCTGAATCCGATTTCTTTTATACCTACATTAAAAAAAATTGCAAAATTTGCCGCCATGGGCCGCGGCCCAAGTTAACCCAGTGGACAGCTCGCTTCAGGACGTGCTTAGGGCCCAAAAGGGCGGCCGGCCTTCTAACACACGAAATTTTACTGCCAATCTTCAGATTCCAGTTTAAACCAAGATGACCAAGAATGTCCATAAATGCACGTTTTTCCACAAAAATGAGTAAATTGATGCAAAAAATAAGTCAGATAGGTATGTGCATTACAAATGCCGAGTCGTGACAGTTGTAATGAGAAATCGTTCTGAATAATTTGAATTCATAGATTAGCTGCCCTTTTGCACCCTAGCTTTATTCGCAGAGGCATCGGTGAGGGCCTGATGGATTTTCGGAGTTTCACTCCTGTCTGTACTCTCGCTATCCAGGTACTCTACTTTTAATGAGAACGCAGATCTACAAGTGCTCTCATTTTGATCCCCAGTGATTCGAGGCTTATTCTCTAGGATGTGCAATCTGACAGCGATGCAAGGCATCGATGCGTCAAAAACGCAAGCTCAAGCTTGCCGCGAGAACGCGTCGTAAGGAAGGCGAAAGCATTTTTACGGGTACATTAATTTTGTAAATTGGTGGTGTGGCACTGAACGGTCCGTCTACGACGTGAGAAATCCATCTTTTTCGAATGATTTACGCCGCATTTCTGACGCGACGCGCAGACTCACACGGACGCAGTGAAACGCAACGCAAAACGCATCCGATTGACGCAGTGCGCACCACTGGCCATAACTCTCCAGTGACGTCGAATCACGAGATATAAAGCATTGTGGGCAGTCTAGTATCACAGATTCGAGGAGGAAAAAATAATGAATTGAGTGGAATCAGCTTAATTTATAGTTCGTTGGAGAACATCTGTTTTACATTTTCGAAGGAAAAAACTTACGAGTTGCTTCTGGTGGTGATGCCGCCAAGAGGATCTGGACACTTTAAGATCTGGAACACATTAAGCATACAATAGACATCGGTTTGAGTCTCAAATGATTTTATCTTTGATAAAACAACCATTTAGGTGCCATACTGTACGTACGTAGGCATATTGGCTGAATAGTCTTTTGTTGGCTCTTAAATACACTGGGGGAAAAAACACATTGGATCTAGAGTCCAGACTCTTAAAAACATCGACAAGAAAAAGTACTCTTGATTCAATCAGAATCTAGCTTAAATCAAGAACCAAGCCTCTTAATTTAAGCGGATTTCGTTTTAATCCAAGCAAAAATCCGATTGAATCAGAGTATTTTTTCTTGTCAATGTTTTCAAGAGTCTGTACTCTAGATCCAATGTGTTTTTTTTCCAGTGTACACTGTTCAGCGCATTCACCGATTTAATGTTCCTACCTCTGATCAAAAAATGGTTCGTTGCCACAATCGAAGTTTCTAGATACTGGTGGGTAGATAGTAAATCAAAATTGAGTCGTACACTTTCATACTCCAAAAAGAGAGAGAGATGAGAATATGAGCAGTAAAGAAGACCATTTCCAGCGTGCATTTTACCGCACGCCAATCTAGATCTGGCCGCACGCACAAAGCAGGAGAGTACGTGCTCGACTTAGTTTTCTGGCCGGAGGTGCGAAATTTATAGAGAGCTAATCACATTGGCTGAGTAGAAAATAAATCGAATTTCCAAATAACTGCTTCATTTGGCTATCCTGCATTGAACCAAATTACCAATGATTCGTTAACACGTTTTACCACAAGATTATTATTTCTCGAAATTGGCCGATGTTTTCGGTTTTCATTTCATACCGCTCTCTGCGACTAGGATCGGAAAACTGGTAGAGCTAAGTAAACCAGACTCCAGCCAATACCCCTCTGGATTCGGGCATCCTCGGAGGAACGATGATTTGCTTCTGTTTATTCATTAATGAAGTGAAAGATTATTGCTGAATATACCGTTGTGAAGAAGAGAAATGAAACAAATAATATTGTGATTTAGTTTCCATTTCTTACCATATAGAATATTGAAATTGACCTACAATCATTTCCATTTATTGGGAAAAAATGAGAACTGCCCATATACGACGGTAATAAAATTTCCCGCTGAAAGTAAGAATAAAATCTGCTGGGTAAAAGCGGATTTCCTTTTGATATGGGCATCCTTGAATCACATAAATTCTTCCTTGGCGGTAAAATCCAAGAATATTTTCTCGTCTCTTGTTTTTCTCGTGTATTGTATCTTCTTGCGAGAGGATCGATGAAATTATTTTTTGAGTCACACCGCACGGATGAAAGTGAATTTTCGTGGTCATTAGGCTCCTTAATTTATGTGCATGTATGATTCCCAGAAAATCTTGTAGTCAGTACTGAATTCCTGATAGTAATCATCACGCAGATGATCGACATAACCAGTTGCACGATTAACATTGACAGAAATCTCATACTGCAAAACGCAAGAGTAGCTAGAAAAATATTGTGGGGGCTTAGGGTCCCACAGACACTCTTCGGGGGTTTACCGGTATCGAGCATAACAAAATTTTCTGGGGGGAGCCATGCCCCCTCCGGGGCCTCCTATTTACACCCCACGCCGGCTAACATATTTCCCGGGGATTAACCATTTGGTGACAAAGGTGATGAACTACTTATTTGAAAAAAAAATAAAAATACAATGAATGTAATTGAAATATGTAACTTTCCTCATATTTACTATGTTGATGGGTTGTTTGCTCGATCCTTGCCTCCCAAAAGCTAAGATTAGATACCCTACTATTAGAGTTTCTTTTCATCAGGAAAGTAAAAAGAAAAATCTTTGAAATCAAAAACTTCAGCGGAAAAGTTCACAAGTCTAACTTCTGATTGATTTTAAAGCATGGCGTTTTGCGTGTCTTTTATTTTTCTCAGGTTGGAGATAGTTCCTCGAGCTATGCCGCACTAAATAGGTTGACGCGTGCTCTGAACGAAAACGAACTTGACACTGAAAGAACTGTCATTACTCGAGTCAAACGAGCGGCGAAGAGAGTATGACAAGTTAGTTATCATGTGGCTATGGACATTCTCATAAAATACCGGACATAAAAGGAATCCTTGTCGATGAAGAGTAAACGTGTTTCTCTGATTCCAGGAAGTGTTATCTAGTTAAGTTGGCCGCATGGAGCTTTTGCAGCTCAACTGCCATGTTTGTACCGATAACATAAATGACACCTCAGAAGATTGGAACTATTTGGCACCTGAAAG